ACAATTGGTCTCTTTCGATGGCTTCTTTTATGACCTTTCCGGGCATAGTGTCCAGGTCACCTTAGCTCCATCAGCAAGGTGGAGACCATTCCCTTGTTCTCTGCTCACAAGGTTGGTAGGCTGGAATCAACTCTTTCTTGAGGGTTTTGTTACTTTATTTTTAATTTTTAATTTTATTTTTTTTAGTTTTAGAAGCTTTTCTTATAGGGTGCGTGTGCTTACCAGAAAGATAGAGACTGAAAGTGAGAGCTCACCTCCCGGGGGAGATGGCCACGCCGCAATCCCTTCTCCTCCATTATCCTCTCGGGATCTTGGGCACACATGCACACATGCCTGGTGTGAGTTTAAGCCACCGGGGCCGGGACTCGAACCGCGGTTGACATGTAGTCCAGGACATAGCCATACGCCAACTGCTGGTCCCAATGATCTATGCTCTTGAGGCTATAAGTTTACCAGCATGCATCACATGAGCTATAACCTCAAGGCTGGATGTAAATTACCGTTTGTTTTTGGTTCTAAATGGCGTTCGTAGCTTTCTCTGCATCTTCATTGCCTCTGGGTTGGTGTCGTGTCTCGGGATGCTGTCGGTGCCCCCCCCCCCCCCCGGGACCCCGTGTTACCCGGCTGGTGCGCCCATTTGCCGAGTGCTGAGAAAACTGATTTCTCCAGAGGCTTCCCTCAGTCAAGCTGAAGCAGCCTTGGCCAGAAGGTTCTTGTGTCCCGCTAATGCGGGATGAGACACGCCAGCCCCTTGCCCTGGTGGGGCGACTGGGGTGCGACGGCTTCAGCACTCCCTGTGCAGCAGGCAGGGCCATCTCAGCAGGGCCACGTGCTTGCTCTCCTCTCCCCATGCTACGTGCTGCTTCCACGGCCCTTAGGGACCTCCCTTGTAAGTCACACAAGAGCCCACCTCGGGCTGTGCACCCGGGGAGCCGGCCCATGGGAGAGGTGCCGGCCAGCACACACCTTGGAACCAGAGGCGTGGGGTGGGGAGCTGGAGGTGGCTAAGGCGCTGGCCAGACTGCAGCGGGCACCCAGGGTATGTGTAGGTCAGTGGCCCCTGGCATGCTGCAGTGATGGCTGAGGTCTCTCCGGTGCTAAACGGAGACCGTTCGCAGGTAGTGAAATGACTGGGGGCTGGGGGCATGTGCGGAACTGACAGTGACCCTGGGCCGACGTGCAGTGAGGGTGCTCTTGCTGAGACCGCTAGTGCAGGAGAGAGGAAACAACAGGCTCGGATCTATTGCTAAACTTGGACCTAGAGCAAAACACTTCACCCGCGTGTTTCGGCTTCTGCAATTGAAAACTGACCGAGACGTGCTGCCTAGCACTTTTCCAAGTGTGCGTTGTAAAACAGCAATCAGCACCTTAAAGCTAAGTGTGGAAATCAGAGGGCTTCACTGGCCGCATTTAAAAGGATTCTTTTTTCTCACACTCAAAGGCAGCTAGAGCTGAAGACCAGATCTAGGCCTTAATGAAAGGCTGAATTCTCAGCCTTGCCGGCCTTCCACGGCGATGTCAGGTCCTCAGTGGGGGTGAGGGGACCCCAGACTGGGTGTGGGTCTATCTGGAGAGATGCTCTTGAGAACTTCGGACCTCAGCCAGTTTGGCCTGAATCCTTCAGATCTGCAGAAATGACTGCCCCTTCTCCTTGGGAGATGGGTCTCATTGCTCGAAGACCATGCAGAGGGCTTGAAGGAGGGCAGATCAGTTACAAGACAACGCTTCCCTCCTGCGAGGGCAGGGCAGCATGCCTCACGGGAGTCCCGAGGTTCTAGACCAGGTGGAGGAGACACATGGCAGGGTAAGGGGAGTCTGACCTTCGAGGGCGCCACCCCGGAGCTGAGTAAGCCACTGCCTCCCTCCTTCCCCTCCTCTTTATTCCTTTCTCTCTTAATCTGCTGTAGACCACGTGCACTCAGCGGTGAGAGAGAGCGAAAGTGAGAATTCACCCGGGGGACGGCCACTCTGCAATCCCTCCTCTCCTCCACCCTCCTCGGGACCTTGGGCAGGTGTGGGCACGCTGCTGCTGTGGGTTTTCAAGCTGCCAGGTGCAGGGCTCAGCCTGTGGAGCTGGCCTTGTGGAAGCCAGCTGCCTTCACCCCCTTGCCTCTGGCTGGCCTTAAACCTCTATTTTCAGAAATCATCCAGTTTGTGGTATTTCTTGTTATTAGCAATGAAATGAACTAGTCCCCACTCTCCCAAGCCCCTTATGTGGGAGGACTTGCGTGCATGTGTGTGTATTAGGTTGTCGGAAAAGTCATGATGTGTTTTTTCTATGTCGTCCTAGGCAAAAATGCGTCATGACTTTTCTGCCAGCCCAGTGTACATGCGTGTGTGTGTTCTCACAAGCGCTCTGTGAGGAAGGAGTTATTCCTTCCGTATTTTGATGAGGCATGTGAGATGTGGAATAATAACCCACTTAAAACCGCACCAGTGGTAAGTGTGAGAGTCTGGACCGCCTCTCCCCCTTCGTACCGCCCCCCTGGCTGTACTGCTGGGACTCGGGGAGCGCCAGAGGGGACAGACAGTCCACGGGCCGGACAGCGAGGCTCGTCTCGGGTTCCGGGAACTGCGCGTGGGGAGTTTCTGCTCACTTCCAAAAGAGGAGCCTCCGTGGAGGGACTCGACTGAACGCGAACGCAGCGTCAGTGTTGGGAGGTGGGAGCGGATGGGGCCAGGTTTCCGCCGTGGGACTGCGAGGGCCAGAGGGGAGTGGGAGGACGGGCTCTCGGTTGCTGGGCTCCACGGTCGGCCCACAGAAAGCGGGGACGGTCAGCGTGTCCCAGAGACTCGGCTCCTTGGGCCCGGCGTGCCCACCCCCACAGCACTGCTACTCCTGGGAACAAGAGCAGGATGGGGTGTCCCAATGCGGCCCTCCATGACGTGTCGATGGCCTGTTGTGTGTCCCTAGAGGCAGGCGACTCTAGTCACACACAGGCAGCCCCACAGCCGGAGCCTCTCCTCGTACCGGAACCACGTGGCCCGGGGACACAGATGCCAGTCTGAGAAGTCAATCAAGCCAGATGGTCTTCTGAGTCTTGCCGAGTAAGTGGCTGGCTGGCAGTCGCAGTCACTCGAGTGGCTGAAAATAACTAGCATGCTGTTTTAATGAGTTAATAAATCTGCCTCGCGGAGCTACACGGACAGAGCATCACTCGAGTTCCTCGCCGGCCTTGATTAACCTCGGTGTGGGAAAGGTCAGCGCCCTGTCTGGTGGGTCCTGGTCACTTCAGACCCAGCAGCAGGGGTGACGGCAGGGGCGACAGGGAATGGCAGCACAGGCCTGTGGGAACCTCGTGCCGCAGTGGGAGCTTCAACAGCATCCTCAGTGGTCTTGGCCCGGCCCAGCAGCGCGTAAGTCTTCCCTGCACGGCCTTTAGGAGAGCTGCTGCTTAATCCTCAGCCTCAACCCCGGGGGCGCATGCTGCTATGATTGGTTCTCTGGAGAGCGAGATTTTTGCTATAGGACAAGTGTGCTTGCTGGAGAGACAGACAGAAAGTGAGAAATCATCCCCTGGGGGGATGGCCATGCTGCAACCCCTTCTCCTCCATTCTCCTCTCGGGATTCCAGGTGTGCGTGCATGCACGCTTGGTGTGAGTTTCAAGCTGCCAGGTCTGGGGCTTGAACTGTAGTCGGCCATGTGAGAGTCCAGTGCCTTAAGCATGCTGCCACCTGCTGTCCCCCATGCTGGTATAACCTTTGATAGCTGAGGAATAAAGGTTATTTTGGTGCAAAATAACCATTTTCCCAGAGCTTTTCGAAATCCCCTCATAATTCCCACTGAGTCTCCTTCTTCTCTTCTGCTACGATAACCCTGCCCGCCCAATCCACGCCCCACAGGCCGGGCCGAAGAGCTAAGACGGCATCCCGACTCGCCTTACAGACCCAACTCCTCCTCCACCCACCTTCACCTCCTTACGGCCTTTGGAAGCGGGCCTGCTTCACCATGGCTACTATCAGCCCTGCCCCTGGAGTCCCCAAGCCTGCCAGCCACCATTTTTCTTTCTGGAGGCTGTTAGCACTCCCGTCTCATCTCCTGAGATGCAGCCATACGTAAGACAGAAACGAGCATGGGGAGAAAGCTTGTTCGAACGATGCGGCCTTGAAGAGGGCCTGGTCCTGCAGAGGCCTTCGAACAATCAAATAGAAGGGGCTTTGCACAGGGAGGCAGAGAACCCGAGGAAACCAGAACATTCTCCATCCCTGGCCCACGCTCCCTGCCGGGGATGCAGGTCTGCCCTCCGCTTTGTGCTGGACGGTGCAAAACAGACACCGTGCACAGCCAGCAGCAATGGCTTCGCCTACTCTCCCGTCAGCAGGGAACATCAGGGCTTGCTCGGCCCCGGGCTGGAAAATTACACGCTGGAGAGAGGAGCCGCGCCAAAGGGGAGACAGTGCAATCCGGGTTCTGCTCGTCTGCATCGTTTATTTACCCAGTGAAGGAAGGACAAGGACACAACCCGAGGCAGCACAGATTCTCAGCGGATCCCACGGCAGCTGCTCCCCTCCTTCCGTCTAATTGAAACCCACAGGTTAAGTAAGAGGCAAGGGGGAGATGAACAGCTTGTGGGAGAAACAGACATCTTATTTGAGAAAGTCCTTCTTAAGATTGCTGTCTACTCGGGTTTCAGCTTACTCAGATGGCTTGCCCTGCCCTTGGGAGCCTATGACTGGGCTGGGTATTTTAGGGCAGGTGTGAGATGTGGCTGCCATGGCCTTCCGGGAGTCAGGCTGTACAAGTCTCACCATGGTGAGAACATAGGAGACCTTCAACACGTGGCCCAGAAGGAAGGTGCTTGAGAGGTGTGGCCCTCGGACACGGCCGACCAGGCCCGGTACACGGACGGCCGTGGCAGCCCTGGGAGGGAGAATGAGCATACCCTGCCTGTTGGAGTCGGGGTTCCCGGCCCCCCTTCAGCATTATCGGGCACTGCCAAGAAGAGACTCATGGTATTAATTTCTGTGCCAAGACTCTGAAGTTGGGATTTTAGTTCTGTTTTTTTTTTTTTTTTTTTTTTTTTAAAGGAAGAAAACCAAATGAGTTGCGGAGAATGCTGGTAAATTTGTATCCAACCTCAGCAACTCCATGTTAAAATACAATTAAAAGGTTAATGTTTGGGTAAAAGTCAGAGACTCTCGCATTTCTGTGAACACAACGACACTACCTTACACAGTGCGAGACGGGACGAACACAGCACCACGCAGGACAGGCGAGAAAAACCAGACGAGGAAGTACAGTGCCCCCCACGGAGCCGCCGGGTGGGAGGAGCTGCTCTGAGCTGTCAAACCTCGGAAAACACACGTCATGGTAGGTGGGAGGGGGCTCCGGAGGGCCCGTGGGCACAAGGCCCACCCGGTCCAAGCCATAGCACGCAGCGCTGGGGCCACGGGCACCAACCCTCCCCGGGCCCTGAACGCAGCAGGTGTGTACTTGGTACCCTGGCGGACAGCAGCCCCCGGGTCTTCTGTACTCCCGCCCGTGCCCTTGGCAAGCCGCGAGGGCGGGTGTAGCCGGCACTCAGGTGGCCGACAGAGGCTGGACATTCTGAACCTTGGACAGAGTGACCGGGATCTTGGTTTCCCCTGGGCCAGGAGCTTTAGTAACGGGCTGGGCGTGGGCCTTGATGTCTGCGATCCGCTCTTGGAACCTCTGCTGGAGGAGTCTCTCTTCTTTGGAGTAGCTCTTGGCGAACACCGACATCAGCAGGCACCCGGCCATGGACGTGCCGCCCACGCAGAAGAGCACGGCTCCCGCCAGCTTGCACGCGTCCAGGGCCCCATTAAACTGCACCGCCTGGGCGTCAACCACCACGAAGTCAGCCTCGCCGAACGCTTCGATTTTCGGGGGCACGAGAAAGCCCACTGCCAGGACGGTCAGTCCGAGAATCACGAAGACCGTGCCCGACGTGAGTCCGACCTGGAGAGAGACGGCAGAGGCAGCAGGTGAGCGCGCGGGCTTGGCACAGGGTCCCCTGAAAGAAGCGGACAGCCATCCTACGGTGGACACCTTCGACGGAAGGATTTTGTTACACGTGGCCACAAAGTACAAGAGTTGCTCAGCATTCCGTGAGGAACACCTAGCACAAGTTCTGCTCTTTAAGCACTGTATTTTCATTTCCTCCTGTCCCTAACTGCTTTTAAATTGCATAGCCAGATTGAAAAAGTAACCAGTTACATAATACCACTTAATATTGACTACCCTAAGTGTACCGATTCATTTAATTACTTTTATTCAAGGTTAAGAGCGATAACCTAATAACGGAGGTGGTTAACAGAACGGAAACATTCACCAACGCTGCTCTCGCAGACGGGGGGAGGCGAGCTGGCCCCTGAGGCACAGACCCTGCTGCACCAGTCTCCTTCAGCCCTCGCACGCACCTCGGGGAGGCAGGTGTTTGTGCTCCCTTTTCACACGTAAGAGACCGAGGTTTGTAGGTCACAGGGGCAGTGTCAGAGGCCCCACAGCTAGTGGGCCGCCAGGCTGGGTGCAAACCCAGATCCGTGGACACCCAGTTCTCTACCTACCACGGCGCACCGGCTACTAAGGAATAGCTTTGTCCTGTTAGTTCTCACTCGAACTTCAAGAGATTTAGCCACTGATAGGGACAACTTTCCTTTACGTGTGATCGGAAAGAAAATGGAAAACGGGCCAGCAGGGGGTGTGGTGTGTAAGGCGTGGGGTCACATATGGCCAAATGTGGTTTGGGTCCCGGACCTGGTGGCTTAACAAACATGCTTCACTCACGGGCATATGTGCCCGAAATCCTGAGAGGAGAATGGAGGAGACGGGACTGCAGTGGGCCATCCCCACTGGGGATGGAGAGGTTTTTGGAGAGGTTTTTGCTATAGGGCTCGTGTGCTCGCCAGAAAGACAGAGAGAGACAGAGAGACAGAAAGCGAGAATCATCCCCTGGGGGGATGGCCACGCAGCACTCCCCTCTCCTCCATTCTCCTCTCGGGATCTTGGACACACACACACACACACACACACACACATATATATGTATATACACATACGTGTGTATACACATATGTATCACAATGATATCACAGTATCATTAAAAATATCCAGATCCAAGGCCAAATGGTGGCATGGTGGTAAAGGTGGCAGGATCCCACACTGTCAACTTTGTGGTCAGAGTTCCTGATCAGCAGCTTGAAAAACATGCTGGACACCCATGTGTACATGCCCCAACCAAAGAAATTGGAAAAAAAAAGGCAATATGATATTTTCTGGAAAAAAGTACAAACTATTTACCATAAACATAAGAGATAAGTCCTATGGGGAAAAGTAGGTTGTAAAATGTAAGGTTTTAAATGATCTGTATTTTTCCGAAAAAGGTGGCTAGTGGATTCACCTTCAGGAGTAAGCATTATTTCTACCTTCAGAAATGACTCACACTGGAAGATTCGGAATGCACCAAGTAAATTAACTTAAATATCCATGGTGACATGCTTCCTGTGTCACTAACTGGCTTCCTTTCTCAGGAACGGGTGGGTGCTCATTGTCAGAATCCGAGGGCAGCGAATACGCATCCGTCTCGGTTCTGAGTCTGCCGAGCGGGAGAGGCTGGTGCGGGCTGTCTTGCAGCCGGGTCTGGCCTGTCCGCAGCCCTCACTGCAGCCTGACGTTCCGTGGACATTCCTGGCAGCTCATCCCCCAGACGGCTGGACACAGAGCTGTGACTGGCTCGGAGCAGGCTGCTCCTCTGTGGGCAGTCTCAGGTGAAAACCCACACTGGGACGTCCCTGGGAAGCTCAGTGGCAAGCCACGCTAGCAGAGGCAGAGCCTTGCTCACTTCATGGACGGGGAAGTGCTGGCCTCCCCGGGCCGCTCCTCCTCCCAGCAGAGCAGCAGAGCGAGGCCTGCCCCTGGGGTGGGCACAGCTGGCACCAGGATGCTGAAGGTGCCAGGAGCTCCAGGGGACATGCCCACAGAGGCTCCCAGCCCTGCCGCCCGCCAGGAGAGCTTGGGATGGCAGGGGAGAGGAGCAGGATGAGGGGGCGGGAGAGGGGCTGGGATACATCGACTTCATCTGCCATGTGGTCTCCTGAGGGAATACAGGCTGGGGAGTGATTCTCATCAGCACCATGAAAATGGCCTCTGGACACTGTTCAAGGTTGAAGTGGCCGAGTCTAAGAGGAACAGGCTGTGTGGGCAGCCGGGCAGCGCAGTGGTAACGCACAGCCGAGGCCATGCAGGAAGTCCCAGGTTTGCGTCCCGGGTCTCCCCACACACTGGGTGTGCTCACACAGCTGTGACCCTGGTGGGTGGGTGGGGCGGGATTGTGGGCGAAGACCCTGTCAGGTGCCTGTTTCTCTTTCTGTTGCCCTTTCTTGTAGAGAAAGTAAAGAAATAAAGTCAGATAAAATAAGAAAAAATAAAAGGAGCGCTCCGTTAAACAGAGCGGTACAGCTGCAGCACAGACGCCGTGCAAGTTGCCCAGAGAGCGAAGCGGCCCTGAAGATAAAATAAGAAAAAATAAAAGGAACGCTCTTTTAAACAGAGCGGTACAGCTGCAGCACAGAGGCCGTGCAAGTTGCCCAGAGAGCGAAGCGGCCCTGTGCAGGGCCAGTGGGAGCCACGAGGGTGGGGGGGCCA